TAACAATGTTCTTTATTTTGTTTGTTTAATTGATAAATACATATTTTAATTGATTTAAATTGATTATTTTATATATATTAAAGTGTTACTATTTAACACTCTGCTCTACTTAAAGATTTACTTCTTCTTCTTTGATTGGATTTGTTGTTTCTTATTGTTTTCATATTCTTTAATAAGATCTTTAGCATGATCCATGTTCTTTGAGTATTGCCATGTAGCTTTGTCTAAAGGATAGCCAAGCCATTTGATTTGATACTGCTTCTTCTTTCTGTACATTCGATCTCCAATGATTTGTTCTATTTCAAACTCTTCTTCATTGTCAATGATATCTGGTTCAATACCTTTAACTAATGATTCATTGTCTTTGTTTAACTTGAATTGTACTAATTGATTAATATTGAAAACTTTGTGTCGCTTTGTTGTGTAATCCAATTCTAGTTCTACGTTGATACCATTATTGAATATCTTTGTGATCTTGAACGGTCCACGATTCTTATTATTAATTGATCCTGTGTTTGTGTTCCAATCAACTTCTAAATTGATAAATTCATCTTTGACAAACATCCAATCTCCAATCTGATAAGTCGGTTTGTTCTTGATGGTTCCATCTGCTTCCAACATATCTAATTGTTTATCCAACAAACTGTCTTTGACCATCTCTCTGATCCATTCTCTATTCGATGTATTATTGTTTCTAAACATGTTAATTGGCGATACAGGAATGTATCCCAGCACTACTTCGAAAGGTGATAGTTTGATTGTTGAATTATAGGTTGAATTGATCGCGAATTGAATATTCTTAATCTCTTCATCCCACTTGTCTTTGAACTCCAACGATAGCTTCCTGAGCATAGATCTGATTCTCCTGTTAGTGCGCTCGCTCTGGCCATCTGATTGCGGATGTCTCGGTACGGACATTCTTAGTTTTGATCCTACCTTCTTAAAGAGTTCTAACCACAGTTCACTTGTAAAGCGAGTATCACGATCGCTTACAATTGATAACGGTAATCCAAACAATGAGAACACATGTTGATGAATTAACTTTGCTGTACCCAATGCTGTGATTTCCTTCGTAGTTGGAATGATAGTTGTATATTTCGAAAATCGATCCACCACTACCAAAACATAATCATAACCATTAACGCTCTTTGGTAATTCCATGAAATCCATCGAAATATCCACACCAACTCCTTCTGCTATCTCCAAAGGTTGTATGTTAACCTTCCTTTTCAATTCCACTCGATTCTGTTGACATTCCACACAATGTTCACAGTAATCCTTCACCTTGTCATATAGATTGCGAGCATAGTAATTCGACTTCAACCTAACCCACGTTCTTAAAGTATCTCCATGACCACAGTAGGTACTTCCATGAGCTTCCGTTATTACTTCTTTAATATGCTTTTCATCTACCAAAAGTAATCTTTCATTGAAATTCTTATCCAAGATAAAAATTAATCCATTACTTTCTCTCCATGATTCCTTGTGACGTAACTTTACCAATTCGACATCCTTACTTGACTTATAACTGTTCTTAATCTCGTCCAAGTAACTGAAATCCAATGGTATCTGGTAACACTGAAGTCTAGACAGCACATCTGCTCCTACGTTGTTCTTTCCTTCAATGTGATTGATATCATAGTTGAATTGTGACAACACTTCCAATGCCTTGAGCTGATCCTTCGTCAAGATTGCTTGATCTTTCAAATACAATAGATTGAAATGATCTGTGTATATATTTAACTTTGGTCCTAACAAAATATCTGAATGCTTCTTCAAAAAGTATTTGATTGCCAACAGTTCACGTGCACCAATCGACTTGATCTGCTCTCCTGGTTTCAGCCTTCTTCCACTGAACAACACTGGTTTCAACACTCCTTTCTCATCTTTCTGACAGATCACCACGCTTATACCGATATCGCTTGCATCTGTATAAACAAAGTACTCCTTTGTTGGATCCGGCAACATTAGATCTACTGTATTTTTCAACTCTTTTCGCAATAAATCGAATTCTCTCTTTGCTTCGTCATTTATTTCGAAATCTGTCTTGAAAACTCTAAGTTCTTCTAAGTGTTTGGTCTTTTCAACAAACTTGTCAACAAACTTTCGATAATAATTAAAAAATCCCAAAGTTCGCTGTACTTGTTTTGGTGTTGTTGGATACTCCATTCTATCCAGTATCTCTGTCTTCTTACTACTACTATTAATGATATTCTCTCTTATTGTTCTACCTAATATTTCTATCTCTAATCTAAATAGCTTTAACTTCTTCCTACTTAAATATATTTGTCTCTCTCTACATCTAATCAACATTCTGATTACTCTAACTACATTCTCTTCTAACGTCACATCGCCACTAATGAGATCATCGAAATAATTTTTTACTATGTCACTAAAATTCTCTTCGATAAACTCTGCGAATCTTGCTGGTGCTCCATTCAAACCCATAGCCATACGTAAATACCAGTAAATGCCTTTACGGGTCCTGAATGCTGTATATTTCCTTGACTCCAAATCCATCTTCACATGAAAGTAACCTTTTACAACGTCTCCGATGCTAAAATATTTACATCCTCTCAAACTATTGATTACTTCATCTACAACTGGAATCTTGTACTCTAATTCTACTGTCGCATCATTTAACTTCTTAAAATGATTTACTAATCTGTTAAAAGTCAATTAAAGCTAGTGAGAAAAACAAAAAAAAACCAACATAGCGAACCACTTGCTGTTCACACTTTTTTTTTTTTTTGCATGAAAAAAAGTTTGTGGCGTTTGCAGAATATTATTTTTGCTATGTCTGGTCAGGTGTGGGGTTTTATTTGATTTTTAACATCTATCAAACACATTATTCTTATAAACTGCAAATATTGGTGATTCTACTACTTGATCTAAAAACTCTTCTGGTACTTTCTCTACTATTCCTAACTCTTCTAACTCGTCTACTTTCATCTGTATGTCCATCTCTTCCTTGTAAGATCGTCTGAACTGATGTTGTTTCTTCACCACAGCATCTTTCTTCAACACAATCTTATGAATGATGTCATTATCTCTTTCCATGATTTTGAAGTTTGGCGGTTTCTCTACTATAACGTCACTAAAGATTTCCACCATCTTCTTCTCCAATCCTTCTAAGTCTTCTTTAACTATTAACTCTCTTACTTCCTCTAATATTTCTTTCTCATTATTATTATTTACTTTACTATCTACTACTATTTCTTTATCTACTTTCTGATTTACTACTACTATCTCTACTCCATTGAACTCTAAATACCACTTCTTATTTCTTATCTCTATCTTCATCTCTAACTCTTGAAGTATATCTGATCCGAAAATGATCTCAATATCTTCTTCTATATCTATTATGTTTAATTCTACATTATATGTTTTTTTATTTATTATTATTTCTGCTGATACGGCTTTATTTATTATTTTATTTTTATCTTCTAATGGAATTTTTATTATTTTATTTTTTATATTTTTTATTTTATCTATTTTATTTATATATTTATTATTTATGAATGATTTTGTTGCGCCTGTATCAATTATTATTTTTCTTTTTATTTTATTTATTTCTAATTCTATTATTAAATGATTATTATTTATTTCTAACATTAAAATTTCTTCTTCAATCTTTTCTTTTTCTTTTTCACCTTCCACCACTTCCTTCACCTCCGACAACCCCACGCAACTCTCCTTATTCTCGATTCATTTCGAACTTTTCACCGTCTCCCCCGCTGATGTACAGTTCTTACTGATATGACCAATACCATTGCATCTGTAACATCTCACCTCTCTCTTTGTTGAGCTATCTTTCTCTGTTGTTGTTGTTGTTGTTGTTGTTGTTGTTGGTCTAAAAGTTGATTTCTCTTCTGGTCTTCGATGAGCATGATGATTAACTCTAACTCTCGATAACTCTTCACAGTATTCAGATATGTGTTCTAACATCTTTTGAAATGATTTCTCACGATAATCCATTCTATAGATGTATTTTTCTATCTTTTCTTGATATTCAACGTAATTGAGATTATTGAAAAACATGATCTTGGCTGCGTCTTCTGATAAACCTGGTAAATGTCTATTGTCCTTCCAGAATAGAATAAACGTTTCCAATGAGTTCGCATGTTTCTCTGATTTCTCTGCACCAACTTTCAATTTGTATTCGTTCAGCTTCTTGATAGCTTGACCTTTCACATCTAACTTGCACACAGTTCCTTCGAATCTCTCCAAAGTTCCTAATATGATGTCATATCTCTTATCTTTCTCTTTGAGATGTTCGATCATTGCCTGTCTCTTAGGATTCAAACTGGCTAAAATTAGAAGATCTTGCTCTTTCTCTTCTGTTATATTATGAAACTTAAGATTATTCTCTAATTCTATCTTGAATTCACTGAATGAATCTAACTTCTTTATGTCTTTTGCCAAACTAACAATGTGCTTTCTTCTCTTCTCATCGTCTCTCTTTTTATTTCCCACACTCAATCTCTTCACTAATAACTTTAACTCATCTATTTCATCCCTCAACTGGTCCACTTCATCATCCTCACTCTCTTCATCAACCACCACAGCTGCTTTTTGTGTTACCACTTTCTTCGCAGTTTTATTATTGTTGTTGTTTTGATTAACACTCTTTCCTCCCACACTTTTTGATGTTAATTGTTTCTCTGCTACAACACTTTTTGATGATTGCTTCTCTGTTATAACACTATTTGATGATTGTATCTCTGCTATAACACTATTTGATGATGATTGCTCAACTTCTTCACTCTCTTCCTCACTGTTCTCTTCCTCCATTCTTTCGCACTCATTGTTATCTACTGGTGTTTTTTCCTGCTGAACACTTTTATCACTGTTGGTATTATCTTCTTGTGTATTATTTTTACTAGTACTCATATTGTTACTATATATTTTGGAATAAAAAAATAAAAAAAAAGTTTTAAAAGGGGGTGATTAACAATAAAAACCTTCCTATATATATAATAACTAAAGAATAACTAATTTAATACTATAATAATGCTAATGATGATAAAATATAACAATGTTCTTTATTTTGTTTGTTTAATTGATAAATACATATTTTAATTGATTTAAATTGATTATTTTATATATATTAAAGTGTTACTATTTAACAATTCCAAAGTAAATGAATCATATCAAGTCATGTGAATCGAATAAATAAAGTAAAATTTTATTATTTTAAAGCTGAAACTATATACATTTTTGATCACCACTATTTACAATTGTCATTGATATTTGGAGATCTGCTCTAAATGTTATTGTTTCTGCGTTACATTTTATAATTTCTATTGTTATTAATCTAATAGATAATATTTCAAAATGTTGTTGTTGTCGTTGTTGTAGTTGTTGTTGTTGTTGATAATAAATATATCTTTTTGAATGTAATCTTCTTTAAATATCTGTTATCTAAATTTATAATTTCCTAATAATTTCCTAATAATAATCAATAAATGTTAGTAAAATTCTATTAATTAATATAAATTATTATTTCTTATCCACAGCAGTTTCATCTTTTTTTTACCATCCCATATTAATTTTCGACTTCCACCACACTAATTTTTCAATTTCAAAATTTTTTTCAAAGTTAACTTGCTTCCACTCATATAAAAATTTCAAAACTTTGTGTGACAGAGATCACAAAACATGCATTTTTCAGCTTTTTTTTGACTTAAAAAAAAAATTTTTATACAATTTTATGTAAATAAAAAAAAAATAATAAGATTTTAAATATTTTTCTAAATAACTTCATATTAACTCATAAATCTATTTTTTTAATTTATTTTAAAATTTAATTCAATTATTTGTTGTATTTTTAATTTTTTTTTTTTTTTTTTTTTTTTTTTCGAAAAAATTCGAAAATTAAATTGAATTTTTTTTTATTTCATTCATTTTTTTTAAAATTAAATTAAAATATAGATGAAATAACAGGGTATAGAATGATACAGCAAATAACGAAAAAGATATATGATATACTTTTTTTTTACTACGATTCAACAAAATTTAGGTTTCAAAAAAAAAAAAAAAAAATAAAGTATTTTACTGGCGATATTAAATTAATATGATGGAAAAAGGGTAAAATTAAGATTTTTATGTGGATGGGAGGTGGTATTACTCCAACCCACCTTCATATTATCATTTAACCATTCCAAAATTTTGAATTGAAATTTTTTATTTTTATTTTTGGGGTTGTGGGGTGTTTTACTGGCGTCATTAATTTTATATGGTGGATAATTGGTAAAAAAAAGAAAAATTTCCTGTGTTACTGTTAATCTTTTTGAAGCTATTTAAAGATTGTTGGCGTCTATAATTGTAATCCAAATGTAAATGATTTGAAACATTCGATCTCGCTTGTTCGATAGTGACCATATCTTCTTGTAAGATGGTAGTGGCTGCATTAACTTTAATCAAAGTGTTGGTGTATGTTTCACCTAATAGGTAAGCAAAGTAAGCTTTAGAACAACAAGTTGTTCTTGATCAATATCATTTTCCAATGCTTGTTGAAATAAAATCTATTTATAAACTAACTTGACTCTCTATATGATTGTGATGTATATTAGATAATTGCAGTATATTTACAAATGTTTAAAATTATAAATTTACATACCTCAATAGCACACCTTGGCTTTGTGTAGCAGGCCCGTCTCCTACTGTACTTTCATTGGCATCGCTGAACCTCTGTCTTGATAATCTTGATGACCATACTATTAATTGGTTGTGCTTGAAATGCATTACTATTGCAACAGTTCTTTCACGCTGATAGTATCTTTAATCACGTTGATCTTTGTCATGATTTAGCCAAAGAGTCGATCACCGCTATTGTCCTATTTCACAGCAGCTTCCAAAATAAGTATCTATCTTTGAGAGTATAGTCAATTTGATATCTAATCTTCATTCATCAGAACCAACCACCACTCAACTAATATATTGACATTGCTGTTAACAAATGATATCTAATCTAACGTTGCATACTCTGTATCTATTAATAAATTAAAATTAGTTTGTTAGTTTAGTTTAGTTTGGAATTATAGGAATGATCATTATCTCAATATTACTCTTCAATATGTATCTTTTTAGAACACAAAAGTAAACTTGAAGAGTGAGTGCGACAATATAATAGACTTACAATACATTGACTGAGCTTACATTTGAGTTGAATCTTATAACTCATTACTTTCTTAAATAATTTATTATATTCTAAAGCTGTAACATCTTTTAAAATTATTAAATAAATACATATTGATAAATATATCTTAAGATCTAAAATGAAAGTAAAAAAAAAAAAAAAAAACAATTTGTTGATCGTTAACACTTAACATCAAAAGTAATATTTTATTATTTTAATTGTTAACTACAACTTACAATCATTTAACATTTAACTATAGTAAAACAAAAATTAACATATTTATATTGACCTCTATTATCATGCAAACTCTTGTAAAGATAATTTAAAAGGTTAGTTAACTTTTATTCTTATTTAATCTTCACTCTATCTTTACTGTTTTTTATTCAATATTATATCGATTTAACTTGTTCATAAACAAAATACAATATTAATCATGATTCACACAAATTGGATTACCAAATATTTAAACTTTAACATATAAATACACACCAACAAAATAATCATATATAATAGTTAAATTAAAAATAGAAATTATATCAACTATCGATGAATCATAAATTACACAATTATTAAAAATAACATAACATAGAAACCTATACTTTGATTATACAATCCTTTACACTAATGATTTCAAGAACTGAATTTTCATCACGATTATTCACACTTGATCTACAATGGGAAGTTGATTCTCAATTCAAATAGCTTTATTCATTTATTTATATAATTCGTTTATCAATCATTCATTAGCTTCCCATTCATAGATATATATTTATTTATTTATAAGTCCTATACTACACTATCATTTATTCATAAAATTTCAATAATTAAATACTATACAATCATTTATTAATTGATTTACTAATATTTTTAAACTTAATAATAGAACAATAATATGGTAATCATACAAACAAATATTCAAGACATTTTTGAATTCTTTTGGAGGGATCTTTGAATAAGACATCTGCTCCACTGACAACACTTACTGTACTTGAAAAACATATCGGATCTTGTTGTTTGCACGAATACAATCTTTTTCTAGTCCAGAGATGACAGTTTGGCGACAATTAATCGATTAAATCATTGTAGAAACTCTGGACAGTGATGCTATTGCTCTACTATCTACTTTTCAAACCTCAAATAAGAAGCATTGAACACCTCTGCTATTATTTGGTATGTTTTGTTAAAATTATTTATTTATTTATTTATTACAAATGAATAACTAACTAACTAACCAACTATAGCTAACAAGAGAATCGATGAACCCATTGTGAAAGAGAGAGAAAACATTAATGAAGAAGTTACAATTATTTTTCTTGAACTAATTAATCATAGTTTCAAAACTTACAACAAAGTCAACAACCGATTTAGATTTTCAAGAAAGTTTTGGTGGTGCTGCACCATTTGAAGTAGATGGACACCATATTCATTTTTTATTAAAAACTTTAAAACCATCATAACACACCTATTTACTCATTCAAGCAATCAACCAACATCGATTCATCTAATATTTATGATTTATTCATTAATTTTTAGAACAACTCAATTGGAACTGTCATATCAATTTGACAATGAAAGTGGTGATCACACCTATCGAAGCAACAGAGCGATAAGAAATCGGTTAAGGAGACTTACAGATCATTAGAAAGATGTATTGGATCAACAAATTAAGAATATACAATTTATAATCAATTCACACTTCATCCGATATTTTGAAGAACACACCAATCAATTTCACCTATCAAACTATTCAATAGTAATAATAAATTTAAACAACGAGAATTACAATTCAAATAAATAATTATAAATAAACTATCTAAATAAGTTTTTTTTTATTTTTATTTGAGAAAGTAGAGTTGTTGAACGTATGTTTGTATTGATCATTATCGCCAACATCTATGTTGTTTTGATAGTAATTGTAGTTAAAGAACTTGAGTTGATGTTGTTGAAGTATGATTTTAATTGTAAACAGTTCCTTTAATACTAGATGTGTTAGTTGTGAATACTTTTGTATTGTATAAAAGCTTTTGTTGTTGTTGTTGTTGTTGTTGCTCAATCATCATACTTCGAACTTGGTATTGCTTGTTACATGCTGTTGATTGAAAGTCTTTGTAAGAGCATCGGCAACTCCAATTTTATTATTGGTTTAATATTAAGATCAATATCTATAGTATATTGATTTATCATTTTTATTGAAAATATAATCTATATAGAGCTAATAAATTAAATTAACATACCTCAGTGATATCTATCCTAGTTCTTAGGTCTGGCTTTTTGGTGTTGAAACAATATTAATATGATAGTGAATGTAGGCAGTAGAATTGGAATACATTCTTTTTGACATGGTAAAACGTTGATTGCGCTGGTTATGTCTTGCTTGCAACATCTAAAATGATTTCACTCTGATAGTATCTTTAATCACGTTAATCCTTGTAATGATTGAATTCAACAGTTGACCACCAATATTGTTGTATTTTTCATAAGCCTGGATACAAGTACCTCGAAAGTATAGTCAATCTAATTGTTACTAATGAATGATAAGTAATATTCTATTGATCAATATAATTTACATTTTTAACTTACTCTTAATCTATTTGATTGGAGTCTCTTGATGATTTTCAATGAATTAACCTAAGTTGTATTCATTTCATCTCTAATCTTCATCCTATTGCACTATTGACAATCATTTGATATTTGTTCAGCTGTTTTCCAAGGCTCTATTAATGATGCTACTTGTGGTGCTGTTTCAACTTAATTGTTCTTCCTCTTTGCGTCTTCTTCCACTTTTGGTATCCAATGCAGTAGAAATCTAAATATATAAATTAACTTGGTTATCTAAATGATGGTATATTAGATAATAAGCAGTATTTACAAATTTATAATTTTAATTTACATACCTTGCATTAAGAACAAACTTCTTGGGCATGTCCGGTCTCCAAGCAACCACCACTCGCCGTATATATTGACATCTGCTGTCAACAAACAATATCTAATCTAACGTGGCATATTCTGTATCTATTAATAAATTAATATTAGTTTAGTATACTTGAAGAGTGAGTGTGCACTATTATTGTAAAACATTGACTGAGCTTACATTTGAATTGAATCTTATAACTCATTACTTTCTTAAATAATTTATTATATTCTAAAGCTGTAACATCTTTTAAAATTATTAAATAAATAAATATTGATATTATAATACTATTGATAACGATATCTTAAGATCTATAAAATAGATAGTAAAAAAAAAAAAACAAAAAAACTAATTTGTTG